CCCCCCAGTACTTTTAAAAAGCACAGGCTGTTTCATACTGTCAGCAAATTCTTTCTGATATTTAGGCTAAAGCAGTGCCTTCTAAAAGCTAAGCTGCAGCGCTGAGAGAGCTGCTGGAATTGCCACAGTTTTATTCTTTTGACTGCAGTCTATTTAAGGTTTCAGGACATCTTAAGTCAGCGCATTTTATAGAGCAGTACTTTTAGTTTCTTGGGCGAATAGTCCTGTTTTAATTCGGGAAACAAAAGGTGTTGGGTTAACTAACAGTTATAGCACCTCTGTTTTCTCTCTGAAGCCTTTCCACCAACCATGATCCCTTTCCAGCAAAATCAGTCCCTCCTTCCACCATGTCCTCAAAGCCTCTTCAAGGAAAACACCCATATATGGGCCTTCAGGCACGCTCGCACTCAGAGCATTAAGTCGCCTAGCACTGCTATTTTAGGCGTAGATTTAGAAAGAGATACACAGATTGCAATTCCTTGAGTTTCTGAGCATTCCCTCCTGATGGTTTTCTCCAGTGACGGTCTAGCAACACAGAGAACTTTCCCACGATGTGTGTGAAATACCTGACTAACAAGCGAGATGAAATGAGGTGGCGCTCCCTTTGGTTCTGACTGTGAATGTTATTTATCCATTTGCGGGTACATACCTGCGACACGTTTCTCTTAAGAAATGTGCGCAGTGGCGCTGCTGGCTTAGAGGGCATGCACACTTTGAACTTCTCTAGGAAACCCCGAATTATTTTTCAACGTGGTTGAAGATGTGCACTCCCGGCAGCGCTGTTTGGAAGGTCCTGTTCGCATTCACTCTGTGCCCCTTTATATCGCCACACTTCTTAGTTTCTGCCAGTCTGGTTGGTATGTGTTGGAGTCTCGCTGAAGCATAGTTTCTCAGGACGGCCCCATGGTATAATGCACGAATAATCAAACTAAAGCCAAATAAAACCCATTTAAAAAGCAACCGCATAAGGCACATAGCGTGAGGACTTACAAAATTAGAGTCACCTAGATGTGTAGAAAGAGGATGATCTGGAGAAAATTGTTGCGGTGGGCATGGACTCTATATTGCAATGCCACCTGATCCCCCGAGGCCCTACACACCCGCTCACTTGTTAAACCCAACCAACCACTAATGAACAAAGTATACAGGCATATTTAATGGCGTATAGATCTGGCAAAGTTTGTGATTTATGAAAGGCCACAGTATGTTTTTCTCAAGGGTAATGGGAGCTGTATAAACCAGAAGGGACAGGAAAACAGTGTGACTATTTGTATTACAGATGCCTTTTATTTACGGAATCACACTTAATTAAAAGTGAACGGGTCCCTTTAAAATTTATTTTTGAAATATTAAAATTTATAACCATGTATCTTGAAGTATTATGCAATATATTTAAATAATCATTTAAAACATGAATTCGTTCTATCCCTCCTAGATACACAGAAATAAAATATTCTCATTTGTTTTATTTTCCAACACAAGGTGGCAGCATTGTTACACTGTTCTTTCTGGTAGCACCAGCGCCGCTATCCTTGGTGCAGGTTTGAATACACTCTGCGCCTCTTTTGTCTGAGAACTGCACAATGGTAGACCCAGGTTATTTGTCGCCTACATGACATTCATTTTATTGCTAGTTTTGAAAACAGTAGTGTCTGATTAGCATTCATACAAATTTTCTATATTTTATATTTGCTGCATTGTTTCTAAATCTGTAACAATCACCCAATTCTGGGAAGAAGACTAGTCACTATTGTGTTTTGTACTGCTTATGTATGCTAATTTTCTAGAAATCTGAATTCATTTAAATGGGATTTCCAACCATATTTCTAGAAAGTAGACATGATGCCAGGAGATAGGCCCGTTTGACATAAAGGATGAGCTTCCTGTCAGATGTGACACAACAGTCAGAGAGAGAGAGTAAAAGCGGTGCCCAGTATTCTGCAGGTTCATGCAAATGAATGAACCTGGAGATGGGGGAGGGAGTGCAATAGTGATTGAAACAGTAATAAGAACAACCACCATGTTTTGATTGCTCATTATATCAGAGATCCTTTATGTGCTTAATTATATTGTTCTTAATATAATGCTC